TGAGCCTGCGTGTGAGGGGTCTTGAGGTGCTGAGTCTGGCAGTTCTGAGTCTGGGGGTGCTGCGCCTGCGGGCGCTGGAGGTTCTGGAGCTGCTGGAGGTCCTGGTGCTGGTGGCGCTGGAGCTGGTGGTTCTGGGGCTGCTGAGGGTGCGAGCGCTGGAGGTTCTGGAGCTGCTGGAGGTCCTGGTGCTGGTGGCGCTGGAGCTGCTGAGGGTGCTGGCGCTGAGGGTGCTGGCACTGGAGGTTTGGGTGCTGTTGGGGGTGCTGGCGCTGAGGGTTCTGAGTCTGCTGTTGCGCGGTCTCCTTGGAGTGGTCGCCTTCGTCCGCGTGTGCCTCTCACCTCACAGCAGCTGCACGACTGGTACGGTCGCCGTCAGGGTCGCGCTTCTGGAGCTAGGGGCTCTACTCCTGGAGGTCCTTCTGCTGCTGTCACTGGAGCTGGGAGTGGTGCTGGTCCCGGCGGTGCTCGTACTGGGGGTACTGGAGCTGCTGGGGCTGGAGGTGCTGAGCCTGCGGGTGCTACTGCTGGAGACACTGCGGTTGGAGACCCTGGGACTGGGGGTGCTGGTTCTGGGGGTGCTGCTGCTGGTGGAGCTGGTCCTGGAGGAGCTGGTGCTGAGGTTTCTGGAGCTTCTGGAGGTGCTGGAGCTGCTGGGGGTGCTGGAGCTGCTGGTGCTGGTGGCACTGCCCAGCCGTGCCTATTCTTTGCTCCACCGTCTCCGTCGTCTCAGCCACCGCCTGACTCTGTGCTTCGCCAGGTTCTTAGTCTCCCTTCGTCTACTGGTCTTCCGTTACAGCCTGGCTCACCGCTGCCTGCTCCTTCTCCTTACACTGAGCAGGCAGGGGGTCTTGCTGAGCGTCGTGAGCCTGCGTCGCGTCCTGTCTCGCCTGTTCGTCCTGGTCGTACCGGTCGTCGTGTTCCTCGTCCGCGTCAGCCGGCTGTCCCCGGCACACGCCTTGTAGCCCTGCGTTGGTCCCCTACTCCGGAGCATACTCTTCTTCCGTCTCCCCCTGCGTCCTCTTTGCCTGACGTCGCGGACCCTGAGTCTGACCGGTTTCGTGCTGAGCACCCTACTGTCACGCGTCTACTAGCCACTGTTGTCACTGACCCGTCGTTTGAGTCTGCTGCTGCGTCTGCCCTGGTCGCTGAGCTTGTTGACTTTGCTGCTGCCTGTCGTCTAGACTACGCTGCTAGTCTTGTTGCTGAGTCTGAGTCTGTCTATCCTCCGTCCGTCGGGGGTGAGTGTGCTCTTGGCACGGACGTCCTTGAGGACAGGCACGAGGACCTTGAGTGTCTTGCAGCCACTGCGCCTCATCTCGTGGCCATGTTGCTTGCCCCTGAGGGAGACCCGGATGCTGTAGACATCCTGACCCCGCGCTCTTACGCTGAGGCGATCGCGGGTGAGTACTCCTCCCAGTGGCAGACAACCATGGACGCAGAGATGGCATCCTGGAAGTCTACAGGCACTTACGTCGATGAGGTTCCCCCTCCCGGGGCGAACATCGTTGATGGCATGTGGATTTTCAGGGTGAAGCGGTCGCCGGGTTCTCCGCCTGTCTTCAAGGCTCGTTACGTTGCTCGAGGCTTCAGTCAGCGAGAGGGAGTCGACTTCTTCCAGACCTTCTCCCCCACCCCGAAGATGACCACTCTTCGGGTGCTGCTGCACGTTGCCGCTCAGCGTGACTACGAGCTTCACTCGCTGGACTTCAGCACAGCCTTCTTACAGGGCAGCCTGCACGAGGAGATCTGGCTGCGCCGCCCACCTGGCTTCACTGGGCCGTTCCCTCCTGGTACCCAGTGGAGCCTCCGGCGGCCAGTCTACGGTCTCCGCCAGGCGCCTCGTGAGTGGCACGACACACTGAGGACTACACTTGCGGCTCTTGGGTTTGCTCCTTCGACTGCTGACCCGTCACTGTTCCTGCGCACCGACACTTCGCTGCCGCCGTTCTACATCCTTGTGTACGTCGACGACTTGGTCTTTGCCACTGCTGACACTGAGGCTCTCGCCCTGGTGAAGTCGGAGCTGCAGAAGAGACACACGTGCACAGACCTGGGTGAGCTGCGCAGTTACCTTGGCTTGCAGATCACCCGGGACAGAGCACGCCGCACCATCACTCTGACTCAGTCACACATGGTGCAGCAGGTCCTTCAGCGCTTTGGCTTCACCTGGTCCTCGCCACAGTCTACTCCTCTGGCTACAGGTCACTCGCTCTCAGCTCCACCTTCGGACGAGTCCGTAGAGCCGAGTGGTCCTTACCCGGAGTTACTGGGCAGAGAGACGTGGTCCTCACTGGGCACTCAGACGCTTCTTGGGTTGACGACCAGGCTACGCAGCGGTCGTCACAGGGTTACACTTTCAGCCTTGGCTCTGGTTCTGTTTCTTGGCGTTCTACTCGCTCGTCTTCTGTTCTCAGCTCCAGTTGTGAGGCTGAGATCTACGCCACCGCCATGGCTGCTCAGGAGTTACGCTGGCTCACCTACCTGCTGACCGACTTGGGAGAGCGGCCTCGTTCTCCTCCAGTTCTGTACGTCGACAACAAGGCTGCCATTGCCTTGTGTGAGGAGCACAGACTGGAGCACAGAACGAAGCACATCGCTCTGCGTTACTTCCTGGCTCGAGAGTTGCAGCAGCGTGGTCAGCTTCGTCTTGCACACGTGGCCACTCGGGCCAACACTGCTGATATATTCACCAAGGCACTTCCGTCTGGTGATCATCAGCGCTTTTGTACTTTGTTAGGCCTTGTGCCTACGTTTCCACACTTGCTGTAGCCTTTGTGTGTACTGTGTTCTATATTTATACCTGCATGCTTGCTCTTGCTAGGTATTGATCACTACACTGCTCTTGTTGCATATATATATCTCTGGATGTGGACTAGCCTTGTGGCCCTTTGCTTGTGCTCAGTTTGTGTGGTGACGTTGTGATCCACCCTGAGCTTGTTTTGCGTTTCTTGACTGGTCTTGTGACCCCTTGTTCTCCCCCACTTTGCCTATGGGGGTGTGTCAAACTGTATATGTTATATACTTGTGTAGGCTGTAGTGGGGTAGCCCATAAAGGGTACAACCCAATGTTAGGGTTAGCATATGTACCCAACTCTGTTTCAATTCAAGTCATTCCTGTCTCTAGTTTCTAACAAAGCACACCAAAGCAAGGGGTGGGTTGGGAAAGTTGGCTGTCGCACACCAAAAATATGAGACACTGAACTCAACGTTGACAGAACCTGGGTCCAAACCTGTCCCCCTTGGCTCGTTTTCCACCCAAACCAACCCACCCTGGTTTGTTTGGGCCTCGACTGTTTGGGAGTACGCTGTGCTTTTTTCTCTCACTCGTCAAATATTTCACCTTTCGTTACCCAATCACAGACGGGCAAACCCAACCAAGTGTTAAATGGTTGGAAATCTGAGACGCGAGCTTTAAGTAGCCAGTTTCTGACTCTGTTGCTGTGTTTGCGATGCCTGGCAGGAAATTTTGCGAAGTGCCCAGGCTCCCCAAACCTATATTCAGCGAGTTCTGCCCAGGGCTGATTTTATCAGGGTAATTACCCTGATTTCAGGGTGATTACAGGCTTCTCACTTGGTGGTCCCTGCAATTTCAGAATTTCTGACTTGTGAACACTGATCCATTCAGAATAGTGCTTTAGCGAACCCTAAAATATTGGATCCAGGCTCAGAGTAGTGTTCTTACTGACTCTGTCAATGTAGAGTACGCGTTCTGTGGACTCTGAATCTGACCTTATCGGTAGGAAGTTTCTCGGAAATTTCGTTCCGATAATCCCCCTTCGAATTGATCGCAGTACAGCCAGCGCGTGAGCGACGGACAGCAGCATGTCTGACAGACGAATACACTCGATATTTGTTGCTTTCACAAAGTGCGAATAAGTTGTTTTTCTGTCGTAATTTCGTGTGCGTGAAGTTACCAGCATTTTTTTGCGTTTCGTACAGCGATGTTGACGACATTTAGGTACTCGGCGAATTAAAAATTTGGCACATCTGTGGTATCGAATCGAAATGTTTTGTTGACCAAAATCGCTCATCCCTTCCCCGCACTTAAACGTACCGTCATACCCCGGATATAAGCGCCACCCTCGGATAAGCGCCTGGCGCTTTTAATTGGCGCATGGCGCTTATATCCGCTGCTCGATTATAAGCGCACCCCCTGAAAAAACTTGTTTTATTATAAGCGCACGTAAACTTTAAATTTTGAAATGTGTTCAAAACGCTGTAACGATTTTTACTTTAGCAGGCGGATGTGTTGCAGATTCGGTTCCCTTCACATTCGGACCCTGCACTGGATGCGGGTCCAGTCAGCAGGAGCTGTCAGGAGCTGTCAGATTGAGTGTATCTCCCAGCGCGCGCGAGAATTTCGAGACGACCCCATGTAACTTCGACTCGATTGAAAAGACAAGCACGAGATCTACAGAATGGTGATTAAATATGTATATGTCGTTTTATAAACGCCGGCGCTTATAAATTTACTATATTATAAGCCCACCCCCTAAAAAAAACCTGTTTTATTAGTGCCCCCCATGGGGGTATATCCGGGGTATGACGGTATGGATAAATACTATTTTGTAGAACTAAGCGGCTGGAAATTAGCGCGCTCAAAGTGTGCGCGAAACACAGAGCGCACTTCACGCAGAGCAATGCTTTTCCCCCTGTAATAAAGAGCGCGTTACTAATCTGAACTTCGATTTTCGACCCTGAACAATCAGAGTTATATACTTTTCAACCCTGAGCGATCAGGGTAGCATCATTCTGAAAAATGTGCACTCATAATCGAGGGGAAAAAAATTCCCCAGAATCAGGGGGGCCTAATACGAAACGTCAGCCCTGGTTCCGCCTCCGGTTCCTGATTCCACGGCCATCCCGATGCCGTCAAAATTCAATCAAATTCACAAGCGCTGGTGAACACCGCCAATGTGTTTCGGGAACACAGCTCGCGTTCGAAATCCACGTGGCTTCCGATCCTAGCATGGAGACACCCCATCCATATCCACTTCGTTTCAAGCCCCTTCTGCATTGACCACATGATCACATCACATGACATGTCACCCTTACACATACGGTACATGACAAATCACCCTTACAGACGGTATGACTCCATGCTCAATATGTCGCACATGGATGGATTCTGTGCCTTGCCTACCTTGAACGCCACTGTCATCCACGCCACTCTGTATTCCTTCCTCTGGTATCCTACAAAATATTTCCTGCGAATGTTTTCTTATGAGTGGTCTCTGATGGCTGTGTGGCCGAGCAGCAACGGAAGGCAGCTATTCACTCATCATCACTCTCCTCCTCGGCTTCCTTAAGCCACTGTGAAGGGCAGGCAAGCAGAAAGGGGCAGAGCAGCGGAGGAGGCAAGGCAGCAGAGGGGGCAGAACAGAGAGCAGACAGAGGAGCAACAGAGGGGGAGAGCAGCAGAGGGCAGATAGAGAAGCAAGGAAGTTGGCACATGCACAGTGGGGGTCGGGGTGAACTGGAGAGGTGGCACTAGTGAATGAGGCAAGAGGGTGAAGACGTGTTGCCAGGGAGAGATGGAGTGGAAGTTAGCAGTGAATGAAGGGCGGAAGCAGGGGAGAAGTAGGGGAGGAGCAGGGGATGGGCAGGGTAGGGGCAGCACAACAGGAAGGCTGGCAAAATTAGCGAGAGGCGATCCCCTTCGAGTGAAGCATGGACGTTTGAACGCTTCATGATACCCGTGCTGGCAGCACCACACACACGCTCACACTGCCCCCGAGCCACACACGCTCACACTGCCCTGCCCCCGAGCCACAGATGAGAGCAGTTACGCCCACACCACAGCAGGAATCCATCTGCACCGTTCATCTCACCTTGATGAACGCTGCAGATCGCTCGACGAAGACCTTGTCAGCAGCATCGGCGAACTGCTTCTCATCGGCCCACGCCATGACGGCCTCCTCGCTCACTATGTCCCGGTCGTATAACGCTTGTAGCAGGTGACGATGGCAGGGAGCAGGAGGGGGGAAAGGATAAAGTAGAAGGAGAGCACTGGCTGGCATGGTAAGTGGTTGTGCCATGCCACCCTCGCCTCTCACTATGTCCCTGTTGTATAGACCCTCAAGAACCTGGGGATAAGAGTAGCGACCAACAATGACAGAAGGGGGGGGAGTGATGGAATGAGGGAAGGGGGGAAATGGGAGTGCGGCGCCATGACAGCCTCGTCTCTCACTATGTCCCTGTCGTATAGAGCCTCAAGAACCTGGGGATGCGGGAGGAACGAAGGCGAGGGAGAAGAGGGGGAGACGATTGGGGAGTTAAGGAGACGACCTGCTTGGGGGAAGGCACGTGGCGACGACTTTTCAAGAGCCTCAAAAGTCGCAGGAGGTGTTGAAATCACTTTTAAGAACTCTCAAAGCGCGAGGAGAATTATCGCAGGAGGTGTTGGAAGGGGACAGCGTGTGGCCACGCGGGTGGTGTGCGTCAACGAGGCACGCACTGCACTGCACTGCACTGCACTGCAGCACCTGAGCTGCCATTCCATTAGTGAAGGCGGAGCGCAGCGCACATGGAGCGTGCGAGTGGTTGCGTCTGCGGGGCAGCAGGAAGGAAGAGAAGCAAGAGGTGGACGAACAAAGCAAGAGGTGGACGAACAAAGCAAGAGGTGGACGAACAAAGCAAGAGGTGGACGAACAAAGCAAGAGGTGGAAGAACAAAGCAAGAGGTGGACGCACAAAGCAGTAGCTGGCAGACTCGTGTCACTGGTCACCGCGAATGAGTTCTTTTAGGCGGCATTGTTTGGCAACACTCACGTTGACAAAGATGGGGGCGAACTCGGGGCGCGCCTCGTTGCACACCTCCTCAAACGTCAGCAGCACCTCCACCTGCCCCGGGGTGGGAAGGAATGGGGGGAGGTGGGTGGAATCATGGCAGTGAGAGGGAGAAGAAAGCGGGGGTAGTGGTCGGAGGGGGAAGAAGGGGGGGCTGACGGTGGGAGCGTGAAGGGGGAAATGGCAGAGATGGGAAGGGGCAGAGGATAGCAAGGGGGGGAGAGAGGATGGGTTTAGGGCGGGGCCAGCGCGTACGTTTTCGGCTGGTGTACAGTTCATTCTGTGCGGTTAATCATCTTGCGTCACGGTGCAAAACGGTGAAGATTAGAAACCGCTGTACACCGCCTGGTATCGTTGAAAACCATGACGGATGAACTGTGCACAAACTGTAAATGTACGCGCTGGACCCGCCATTAGAGCATGGGCAGAGGAAGTGATAATGGGAACCTTTCTCGAATAGCAGCGTTTTTCGCTTTTTTCCCTGCCCACATCTTACCTACTCTCCTAACCACCAAGAACACCCTCCCCCCCACACTTTCCCATTTTCCTCCCCCCTCCCCATCCCACCACCCAAATCGTGTGTCTCATTGCCAGCAAGTGCCCTTCCAAGTCCTTCCTCGCCCCTTCACACCCCATGCCCCATGCACCCAACGTCCCTGCCAGCTTGACCCTTCTTGTGCCCGATACAAAAGAGCCCCTCTCCTCTCCCCCTCCCTCACACCCTCTCCTCCCCCTTCCCTTTTACCCATCCCCCTGCCCCCACGGCAGAGCACTCACCTCGTCGTCGGTGCCCTTGAGGAACCTTCTCAGAAGCGACGTCCATCGAGTCACCACAGCACGCGTGGACGCCAGCAGCTCCTCTGAGCGGCGCGAGCAGGGGGAGGGCGGGGGCAGGGAGGGCTTGGGCAGGGAGGGCGGGGGCAGGGAGGGCGGGGGCAGGGCGGGGGCAGGGCGGGGGAAGGGCGGGGGAAGGGCGGGGGCAGGGCGGGGGCAGGGAGGTGGCAGAGAGGGGGCAAAGTGGGCGGGGGCAGGGCGGACGGGTAGGGAGGGGGCAGAGAGAGGATGAGCAAGCAAGGGGTGAGAGAGCAAGCAAGGGGTGAGAGAGCAAGCAAGGGGTGAGAGAGCAAGCAAGGGGTGAGAGAGCAAGCAAGGGGTGAGAGAGCAAGCAAGGGGTGAGAGAGCAAGCAAGGGGTGAGAGAGCAAGCAAGGGGTGAGAGAGCAAGCAAGGGGTGAGAGAGCAAGCAAGGGGTGAGAGAGCAAGCAAGGGGTGAGAGAGCAAGCAAGGGGTGAGAGAGCAAGCAAGGGGTGAGAGAGCAAGCAAGGGGTGAGAGAGCAAGCAAGGGGTGAGAGAGCAAGCAAGGGGTGAGAGAGCAAGCAAGGGGTGAGAGAGCAAGCAAGGGGTGAGAGAGCAAGCAAGGGGTGAGAGAGCAAGCAAGGGGTGAGAGAGCAAGCAAGGGGTGAGAGAGCAAGCAAGGGGTGAGAGAGCAAGCAAGGGGTGAGAGAGCAAGCAAGGGGTGAGAGAGCAAGCAAGGGGTGAGAGAGCAAGCAAGGGGTGAGAGAGCAAGCAAGGGGTGAGAGAGCAAGCAAGGGGTGAGAGAGCAAGCAAGGGGTGAGAGAGCAAGCAAGGGGTGAGAGAGCAAGCAAGGGGTGAGAGAGCAAGCAAGGGGTGAGAGAGCAAGCAAGGGGTGAGAGAGCAAGCAAGGGGTGAGAGAGCAAGCAAGGGGTGAGAGAGCAAGCAAGGGGTGAGAGAGCAAGCAAGGGGTGAGAGAGCAAGCAAGGGGTGAGAGAGCAAGCAAGGGGTGAGAGAGCAAGCAAGGGGTGAGAGAGCAAGCAAGGGGTGAGAGAGCAAGCAAGGGGTGAGAGAGCAAGCAAGGGGTGAGAGAGCAAGCAAGGGGTGAGAGAGCAAGCAAGGGGTGAGAGAGCAAGCAAGGGGTGAGAGAGCAAGCAAGGGGTGAGAGAGCAAGCAAGGGGTGAGAGAGCAAGCAAGGGGTGAGAGAGCAAGCAAGGGGTGAGAGAGCAAGCAAGGGGTGAGAGAGCAAGCAAGGGGTGAGAGAGCAAGCAAGGGGTGAGAGAGCAAGCAAGGGGTGAGAGAGCAAGCAAGGGGTGAGAGAGCAAGCAAGGGGTGAGAGAGCAAGCAAGGGGTGAGAGAGCAAGCAAGGGGTGAGAGAGCAAGCAAGGGGTGAGAGAGCAAGCAAGGGGTGAGAGAGCAAGCAAGGGGTGAGAGAGCAAGCAAGGGGTGAGAGAGCAAGCAAGGGGTGAGAGAGCAAGCAAGGGGTGAGAGAGCAAGCAAGGGGTGAGAGAGCAAGCAAGGGGTGAGAGAGCAAGCAAGGGGTGAGAGAGCAAGCAAGGGGTGAGAGAGCAAGCAAGGGGTGAGAGAGCAAGCAAGGGGTGAGAGAGCAAGCAAGGGGTGAGAGAGCAAGCAAGGGGTGAGAGAGCAAGCAAGGGGTGAGAGAGCAAGCAAGGGGTGAGAGAGCAAGCAAGGGGTGAGAGAGCAAGCAAGGGGTGAGAGAGCAAGCAAGGGGTGAGAGAGCAAGCAAGGGGTGAGAGAGCAAGCAAGGGGTGAGAGAGCAAGCAAGGGGTGAGAGAGCAAGCAAGGGGTGAGAGAGCAAGCAAGGGGTGAGAGAGCAAGCAAGGGGTGAGAGAGCAAGGGCGGGATTGCCAGGCAGGAGGGGGCAGAGAGGCAGGGGAGACGGATGGGCGAGGCAGATAGGCGGGGGATGGGGTGGAGGGCAAGGACTGGTGGGAAAGCAGGGAGGCCAAGTCATGGCACGCAAACGGCGTTCACTCAGGTGAGGCAGGTGAGCTTACTGGTGGGCTTACTGGTGGGCTTACTGGTGGGCTTACTGGTGGGCTTACTGGTGGGCTTACTGGTGGGCTTACTGGTGGGCGCCCCGGGAGTGGTGTGGTGAGGCAGCGAGGTTGAGCATGCCTCGGAACATGGCGCCCGCGCAGTCTGCAAAGGAGCGGTTGTATGCCAGCCTGGCAGGCATGGCGAGGGGGGAGAGGGAGGAAGGGTAATAGATGAAGAATGCACAATGAGAGACAGGCGTTGACAACGAATGAAGAAGCAGGATTTCGGGTGGCAAAAACAGGCGTTGACACATTAAGTGTTTGACAGAAGAGTACAGTGCTACAAGGCGTTGACTCGCTTTGATTTCATTAACCACTCACTTGAGTGCGTTGACCTCCAGCACCACGTTGTCTTGAGCCACTCCCTCCGCCACGGCCCGCTTGAACATCTCCTCTACCTGCCGTGCCATGCCATGCCATGCCAAGCATCCATGCACAATCAAGAGATCCTTGGAATATAAAATAAGCAAACATGTTACAACCTAAGGACGCGTCACCTGAACGCCGATCCTGCGATCGATCCTACGTAGGATAAAAAATTTTCATGGTTCAAAAAACGTCTAGAACTCTTGAATGCAATACGCAGGTTTCCAGTGCGGTCAAAGATCGGTTTTTGCACGATCGTCGTTCAGGTGACGCCCATGGCACCACACGCCCATGGCACCACATGCCCATGGCACCACATGCCCATGGCACCACATGCCCATGGCACCACATGCCTCCCACCCCATAGCACCCTGCCTCCCACCCCACCAACCCACCCGCCCCTCACCCCATCTTCTATTCCCTCCACCCCTCCCTCCACCCTCCTTCCCACACGGCCCACCTCATTGCTAAACTCGTCCTCCCCATCCTCCTCCTCCTCGTCCTCCTCTTCCTCCTCTTGCCCTCCCAACACCGCCCCTCACTCATTCCCTGTGTCCTCCTTCCCCTCCTCCCCTTCGCCCTCCTCCCGTCCAACAGCCAGTCTTGCCAGCTCAGCAAGTTCGAGCGCTGTGATTGGTGCGAGCGACTGGCGCCGCACCACGGCTGCAGCAGCGGGCGTTCTGGGAGGCCAGGCGAAGCTCCTCCCGCCCTCGCCCACCTGTACAGAGAACGGGCAGGGGGGGAGGTTGGGAGGGGTGTGGGGAGTGGAGGGGAGGGAGAGGGGATGAAGAAATGGGGCGAGGGATGGAGGGTTTGGGAAAAAAACGAAGCCAGTGTCCTCAACTCATTGTTGGGGTGTGGAGAGGGCAGCGTGGCGAGAGAAGATGTAAGGTGCTATGAGGGCGGTGAGAAGGACAGATGTGGGGAAGGGCGAACCACGATCGCCATGCCGTTTTGTGCCAAGCCATGGCATGTCATCACATCCCAGATGCCCATGCATGCAGGAATATAGCAAATGGACACATGGGTGCATGGACACATGGACATTGAGAAACATGTACACGGCACAACAAGAGCAATGCCAGCACATGACATGGCACTCACTGCTTGCACATTTCACGGACCCTCGTCTTCATCCTCCTCCTCCTTCTCCTCCTCTCCCTCCTCATCCTCCTCCTCTTCCTCCTCGTCCTCATCATCATCATCATCCTCATCACCTCGCTTCTTCCTGCGGGCTGAAGGCGGGGCTGATGTTGCAAGAGGTGAACACGAGAGATAACACGGGGCAACGACACAAGCAGCACACAAAAATGACAGATCGGTTGAGACAATAATAGACTCCGGACTGGCCAACAACTTATCTTGTTACTATGTACATCGAACTTAATTGGTGCCTCTTCTTGGCTGTTCCTTGCTCTCATCATCGCACCCTGACATGGCATGCCAGTGCCACCTACACCCATCCCATCCCACCAATCTCCCTGTATCCTTGCTCTCCCTGTATCCTTGCTCTCCCTGTATCCTTGCTCTCCCTGTATCCTTGCTCTCCCTGTATCCTTGCTCTCCCTGTATCCTTGCTCTCCCTGTATCCTTGCTCTCCCTGTATCCTTGCTCTCCCTGTATCCTTGCTCTCCCTGTATCCTTGCTCTCCCTGTATCCTTGCTCCCACCCATGCCGTGCCCCTACCTGCTCTCACCCATACCATGCCCCTCCCTGCTCTCAAGCCATACTCACACCAAGCCCACCCAACCAACTCACCCATGCCATGCCCCTCCGTGTTCTCATCATCACTGCCCTCCTCCTCAGGCTGCTGCTCCCTCGCTATGCGCGCGCCAGCTGGCACCACGTGATTGGCTGCCACCACCACCTACTATGGGAGAAGGGAACACAGAGGGGTCAAGCGGGTGAGAGAGAGAACCGCATGTGCGTGCACAAATCACACATTCTCTGTGCGTGCACAAATCACACATTCTCTGAGCGTGCACAAATCACACATTCTCTGTGCGTGCACAAATCACACATTCTCTGTGCGTGCACAAATCACACATTCTCTGTGCGTGCACAAATCACACATTCTCTGTGCGTGCACAAATCACACATTCTCTGTGCGTGCACAAATCACACATTCTCTGTGCGTGCACAAATCACACATTCTCTGTGCGTGCACAAATCACACATTCTCTGTGCGTGCACAAATCACACATTCTCTGTGCGTGCACAAATCACACATTCTCTGAGCGTGCACAAATCACACATTCTCTGTGCGTGCACAAATCACACATTCTCTGAGCGTGCACAAATCACACATTCTCTGAGCGTGCACAAATCACACATTCTCTGAGCGTGCACAAATCACACATTCTCTGTGCGTGCACAAATCACACATTCTCTGTGCGTGCACAAATCACACATTCTCTGAGCGTGCACAAATCACACATTCTCTGTGCGTGCACAAATCACACATTCTCTGAGCGTGCACAAATCACACATTCTCTGTGCGTGCACAAATCACACATTCTCTGTGCGTGCACAAATCACACATTCTCTGTGCGTGCATGCGCGCGTGCGTGCGTGCGTGCGTGCGTGTGTGCGTGCGTGCGTGTGTGTGTGTGTGTGTGTGTGTGAGAGAGAGAGAGAGAGAGAGAGAGAGAGAGTGTGTGTGTGTGTGTGTGTGTGCGAGTGTGTTTGTGTGTGTGAGTGGGTGGGTGTGGATGTGGGTGTGAGTGTGCATGCGCATGTGCATGCGGGTATGTGTGCGTGTGTGAGTGTGTCAGTGCACGTGTGTGCGCGCTAAAGGGTGAAGGAAGAGGGAGGGAAACAATTGACAACATGCCAATGGACACCCCGTCGCCCCTCCACACCACTTCCCTGCATGCCCACATGCCCACATGCCCACATGCCCACATGCCCGCCTGCCCGCCTGCCCGCCTGCCCGCCTGCCCGCCTGCCCGCCTGCCCGCATGCCCGCCTGCCCGCCTGCCCGCCTGCCCGCATGCCCGCATGCCCGCATGCCCGCATGCCCGCATGCCCGCCTGCCCGCATGCCCGCATGCCCGCATGCCCGCATGCCCGCATGCCCGCATGCCCGCATGCCCGCATGCCCGCATGCCCGCCTGCCCGCCTGCCCGCATGCCCGCCTGCCCACATGCCCACATGCCCGCATGCCCACATGCCCGCCTGCCCGCCTGCCCGCATGCCCGCCTGCCCGCCTGCCCGCCTGCCCGCATGCCCGCCTGCCCGCCTGCCCGCATGCCCGCCTGCCCGCATGCCCGCATGCCCGCCTGCCCGCATGCCCGCATGCCCGCATGCCCGCATGCCCGCATGCCCGCCTGCCCGCATGCCCGCCTGCCCGCATGCCCGCATGCCCGCATGCCCGCCTGCCCGCCTGCCCGCATGCCCGCCTGCCCGCATGCCCGCATGCCCGCATGCCCGCATGCCCGCATGCCCGCATGCCCGCATGCCCGCATGCCCGCATGCCCGCATGCCCGCATGCCCGCCTGCCCGCCTGCCCGCATGCCCGCCTGCCCGCATGCCCGCATGCCCGCATGCCCGCATGCCCGCATGCCCGCATGCCCGCATGCCCGCATGCCCACACCACAATCACGCACATCAAAGGGGAGCACACAGCCAGGGTTCACGGTGCCCCCCGCCATAACCTGCACGCCGTCACACAGCACCACCTCATCCGCACACCCCCATTCCAGCACCACCTCATCCGCATACCCCCATTCCAGCACCACCTCATCCGCATACCCCCATTCCAGCACCACCTCATCCGCATACCCCCATTCCAGCACCAAAGGAGGGCACGCACATCAAATGAAAGCACGCAGCCAGGGTTGACCCGTCCTCCCGCCATGACCTGCACGCCGTCACACAGCACAGCGTGCCGCACCACCGCGCCTGCGCCCACGGTGACACCGCCCCAGAGGAAGCTGCCGTCCACCAGGGCCCCCTCGCCCACCAGGCAGTGCGCGCCCAGCACTGACCCGCGCACCACCGCCCTCTCCGCCACCACCGTGCCCTCCCCTAACAGCGTGTCCGGGCCTATCAGTGCTGACCGCGCCACTGACACCGCTGCAGGTGGAGGAGAGAGGGGGGCATGGATGGGAGAGGGAGGAGAGGATGGGACAGGGCATCCAGATTTGGTGAGAGAGAAAAGAGTGCCAAGCAAGCAGTGCGCGCCCCGCGCACCACCGCCCTCTCTGCCACCACCGTGCCCTCCCCCAGCAGCGTGTCGGCGCCTATCACTGCTGACCGCGCAACTGACACCCCTGCACGTGGAGGAGAGAGGGGGGCATGGATGGGAGAGACGGAGGAGAGGGGGAACGAAGGGAGAGGGGAGCATGGAGGGGAGGAGAGGGCGGGACAGGGCATGCAGATTTGGTGAGTGAGAAAAGAGTGCCAAGCAGTGTGCCCCTAGCACCGAGCCGTGCACCACTGTGCCCCTCCCCAGCAGCGTGTCCGGCCCGATCACTGCTGAACGCGCCACTGACACCGCTGCACAGGGCGGAGACGAGGGAGGAGAGACGGGAGCAGGGAGGGGGAGGAGGGGAAGAGACCGGGGGGGAAAGGAGCAAAAGAAGGGTAGGGCGATAAGGTTGAGACAGAACAGTGAGTGGTGCAAGTGGAACGGTTCACCAGGCCCTGCACCTTCGTCACATAACGATCACTTTGTTGTGCACACTCACCAGCCCCCCCACCTTCCTCTCACTTTTCCCCCCTTCCTCTTACCTTCCTCGCGGTACCGGTTGCCGCGGGTGACGGCGGTGCGGCGGCTGTGGGCCCCGAAGGCACAGTCGGGCGCGAGGGGGAAGGCCCAGCGCCGCAGCACGTCCCTCGTCACCGCTGCGTACGCCCGCAGCGTGTCGATGCGGGCGGCGTACTGCGACTTGACCTCGTGCGTGTAGATCTTGTTGCCCATGATCTGAGTTATGGGGGCGAGGGGGGAAGCGGCAAGGGGACAAGGGGAAAGGGGCAAGGGGTAAGGGGGGAAAGAGGGGGAAGAGGGCAAAAGGGCAAGAGGGGCAAGAGGGGAAGAGGGGAAGAGGGCAAAAGGGGAAGAGGGGCAAGAGGGGAAGAGGGGAAGAGGGCAAGAGGGGAAGAGGGGAAGAGGGCAAGAGGGGAAGAGGGGAAGAGGGCAAGAGGGGAAGAGGGGAGGGGAAGAGGGCAAGAGGGGAAGAGGGGAGGGGAAGAGGGCAAGAGGGGAAGAGGGGAGGGGAAGAGGGCAAGAGGGGCAGAGGGGAGGGGAAGAGGGCAAGAGGGGCAAGGATTGGTGAGATGAGAGTGGGGGAGTGCATGATGGCGTGCGGATGACAGTGTGTGGGAGAAGCGGGTACCGTGCATGGAGGGAGGGATCAGAAAGAATCCCGGGGAAAAAGATAGCATGGCAGCGGCATGCTACAATAGCATGGCACAGGAGCATCAGAGCGTGGTGACAACATAGCATTAGAATCGGCATGAGACGAAGATGCCAGCAGGGGCAGTTTGGTGGGTGAGGGCGGGAGTCTGGCATCAGCAGCCATGGGTGCGTTGACTTGTGGGTCAACTCTGGCTGCCAATGAATTCATCCCGCCCTGGGGCCAGTGGCCCCCATTGGTGTGGGCACAGCTCATGACGTCATCACATGGGATGACATATGAAAGGAAAAGGGAGAAGAAACAGTTCTCAATCCCTTTGCTGCTGTGCCGTTGGCCATTGGTCTGTGAGAGACGAGGCGATAGGAGGTGCAACATATGAGGGTGATCGAGGGAGGATGGATGCTGACGTCCTCACTGAGAATGCTCACGTCATCATTGAGAATGCTCACGTCATCATTGAGAATGCTCACGTCATCATTGAGAATGCTCACGTCATCATTGAGAATGCTCACGTCATCATTGAGAATGCTCACGTCATCATTGAGAATGCTCACGTCATCATTGAGAATGCTCACGTCATCATTGAGAATGCTCACGTCATCATTGAGAATGCTCACGTCATCATTGAGAATGCTCACGTCATCATTGAGAATGCTCACGTCATCATTGAGAATGCTCACGTCATCATTGAGAATGCTCACGTCATCATTGATCATACCTGAACGATGACCTGATACCTGGATGCTGACCTGAACAGCTCCAAATCTGATGTGCAGAAACTGGTTCAGCATGGTACAAACCAGAGCAGGGGAATTGCGAATGATACAATGATCAGTCCCAGCTCAAAACACACTTACATTCTCCCGTTTCTGTTCCCCATCTTCATGTTTCAAGCTCGAGTCAGAAGTAGCCACACGGCTCACCTGATTGATATTGCAAGGTGACTTTGCGGTCTTGTCGAATTTCACCGAAGCTCACCTCGTTGCGTTGCGGGACAGCAGAGAGCACTGAAAGGTTGCGCACCCCGCCCTCCGCTGCTTTGCCTCACTGACAGAGGGGGACCGGGAGGGAGAGAATGGTGAGAAAGAGGGGCATGGGGAGGGGGAAGGAAGGCGGAGAGGGAGAGGCATGGGGCATTGAAAGGGTGAGTGGTGAGGTAGAGGGTACGGGCATGTGGAAAGACAATCAAGTCATGGCTTTGAAGCCCTGAGCAGCAATTGCGGTCACAATGCTTTTTGAAGAAGCTTGCACTGAAAGCCCATACCACAGCAGCACGCATGAGCAAATTAATTGACAGGCATGCCAACTGACACATTCATGCCAACTGACACATTCATGCCAACTGACACATTCATGCATACAAGTGCCTCTTGTGGCATGAACAACCATGCATACAAGCAATGTGAAACATACCCATGCAGTCCGGCCCTCAACTGCACCAAACGAGATCAACAGCCCAAAAAATAGACCACCTTGGCTCTAACAACTTGTGTCTAATTTTTGTGTTATATAAACTTTACAAATCATAATAGCATTTACCTATCAGTGAATTATATGATACAAGGTACAATTGTTCCTATACACTAACTAATAACAAATCATATTTGTCACCTCCACCTGGGTTGCTGGGACTGCTGTTTCTGCGAGGCTGCTGTTGCAGTCTGGCCTCGCAGCTCACTGTTGCTCCCTACTCCTGCCTGCACTCCCTTCTTCCCCTCCCCCCTCACAGCTGAAACTGGCCTATTTCTCAATCTGCTCGTGGCAGCAGCAGCCCCGCCAGAGGCAGCAGGAGCAGCGCGTCTCATCTTTGCTTCTGAGAGCTTGCTTGCTGCCTGCTTAGCTCTCACTTCCACCACCTTACCCATACATCCGGATCTTTTCTCAGCAGCACCACCAACCTTGGTTGCTTCTCCCTTCCCGTTCCCACCCCTTGCCGTGCCAGAGGCTGCTGCCTTCACAGGCGGCTTCACTGCCTGCTGTGTGGCTGATTTCGCTGCTGCTTTCACCGCTGCTCGTCCTGCTGGCGAAGCTGCTGCGCGTGCTGATGGCTTGCACGCAGCAGGCCTCACCACAGCCGTTGATTTAGCCGCTGAAGGCGTTGCTGCCTTCGCCACTGACCGAGCTGGTTTCTCTGCTGTTCGTGCTGATGGCTTGCTCGCAGCAGAAGCAGCAGCAACGGCGCCAGCAACGGCATCCGCAGCAGCAGCCGCCACCACAGGCACAGCAGCAGAGACAGCAGCACCAAGAGCGTCAGCAGCAGCACTGGCAGCAGCAGCCACCACGCCCACAGCAGAGGCAACAGTCGTGACGAAAGCAGGCCTCAGCGGCGAGAAGCCCAGCCTCGCTCCAAACCGATGCTCCCGGCGGTTTTTGCTGGCCTCAGCAAAGCGGCCCAGCTTGAGAGCGACATCTGCGGAGCTCATGGGCTTGCATGCCGACAGCAGCAGCATCCGCTCGCCTTCACACAATCTTGCAGACATCTTAACGGTGTGATCATTCAAATATGCTTCGTCCTCCTCTGTCCATTCGGTGATAAACTCAGCAGGGTTCACTAAACCATGCTGAGCCACCCACTTGCCAACATTCCAACCAGAGCACGGTTTCACAAGACCGCTTTTCAGATATTCTTCGTCTTTAACAGTCCACTCCGTGATGAAATCATCGGAGTTAACTAATATTCCAGCCAGGAGCAGCAATTCGTCGCTCACGCTCAGTGAAGCACGGCGAATCGTGACAGGGGCCCTCAGATCTGCCTCATCTTGAGCAGTCCACTCGGTAATGAAATCGGAGGAGCTTACTGAAAGTTTAGATAAGAGCAGAAGCTCCTCGCTCACGCTAAGTTCAGCCGGTGCTGCTCTCAGCTGAGCTTCATCAGCCTCCGTCCATTCGTAGAGGCAATCGAAGGGAAGCGGGTTGAGTGCCGGGCACTCCAACCAGCTCGGTACCTCCCACAGGTACCTCGCTGCGTTTCCGAATGCCGCGGCAGCTGCATTCGCAACGGCAACCACCGTTTCAGGGTTGACCGAGTCCATTCGAGCAATGAGATTTCTCAGACGCACGAGGGGAAAGTCTCTGCGAGTGACTGAAAGAGCGTGTGAAGCAAACAAGTTGTGATTGAAGAGAAATGGTCGTCAGGTGACCATTTCTACAGACACCCAGCAAAAGGTTTCCCCCCTTAACGAAGGAGCCGTAGTTCGAGGATTGGTACGGGACTTTGGGGTGCAGCTTCGGCATTACACCCGTTTACTGCGCTCCGAGGCAAATGCGAGGCAGCCAGTGGGTGGTCCACATCGCTGCTCGACTGACTGTACCGCCAGCTAAGACGAAATCGGACGGTTGAAGTGTTTCCGGTGCTTCCGAAAACGTATCTGCGGCAAAGATTTGCAGCATGCTCACGTGGATCAAAACAGCGGCTAGATAAGCTCAAATCGGGCGGCTAAAAACGCTTCGTGAATGTCGGGACCCGAGCTACGGCTAGGTTTGGCACCGACATCCGCTGCGCGTGGATGTGAATGGATGCTGCCGGCACTCATTCTTGGTGGAACTAGCCCAGCATGACGTGTTTCACGCGTGGATCTGTGCGCGGCGTGTTGGTGTGGGGTCTTACCTGGTGGTGGGATCATGATTGGGAAGCGCATTTTCTCCACGTGGCATAGGCAGATCTAAGCTGCGAAGCTGCTGTCAACTCGTAAACAGGAACCGCAGGGGCGGCCGAAAAAGGTACCACATTTTTCTGGGCCAGATCCGGCCGGTTATTTACTGGATCTAGTGCGGTAACTTCGTCCTTTAGTTAGAATGGGCGGGCGTCTGTGAAATAGTGAGGAAAACCGTAATTAGCTTTGGGGGTAAGGGGGATGAGAGACAAGTTGAGATGGCTTGGTGGAGCACCAAACCCTAGGTACTCCTTCGCGAACAGCCGTAATGAAATTGAGCAACGACGAACATGTGCGACATTGTTCACCAAAAACACAAAACCAAGTGCGGAAACTTACAGACTTTGCTCCAGCTGGCTATCCGCTAGATTTAGTGTGGTAACCGTAAAATTGACTAAAGACGGGCGGGCCTCTGCGAGAGCAAGCAGTTCACAGCGAAGAACTGAGATCAGCAACGTTTTCAAGTGGGATCAGCTGGATCAATTGAGTAGGTTAAGGTTAAGGTTATATTAAGGTCGTAACCATGTACATCAAAGCAGAGATCAGCTGGAAATATGGTCTACACAAACCAACAGCCCAAAGGCGTACGTAGGAAATACGTTATTTCCTTATCAACTGATAACCACCAGCAAGGCCGGGGAGCGCTCTATGCTAAAAAAAAGGAGTGCCTAGGGGGGACGAAAGGGGTCTCCGAGAAGCCATGACGAGCGAAGATCTGGGTGGATGGAAGGGTTGCCCTCCTGATCAAAAACGAAAAAGCGTAGTCGGGTGGCCAGCTTAAGACGAGAGGCCGAGCGTTGTTGTTTCTTAACTGATTGTTTCTTCCTGCGCCAGAGGAAAATTCTAAAAGCTAGGAGGAATTGTGCCAGGATGAATTGGAGGGTATCAAAAGGGGAGGAGGGTGAGTCGTGGAATTTATGATCGCAGCGCGCGCTCCAAATAGCCTTTGCGGAGGCACCTACCAGAAGGCTCCAGGGAGCCACCTGGCCAGCCCTCGAGGCGAGCGGAAAGAGCAAGAGCTCAGGAGGAGGAGAACAGTGGAGGTGGCGGCGAGCGACAGATGAGAGGGCAGAGATCACCGCAGGAGCCACCCCGCATTCGTAGAAGATGTGAGAGATAGTCTCAGTGGGAGCAGAAGGACAGAATAGGCATGTCCCTCGATCAGCAGCAAAAGGGAAACGAGAACCCGAGGGAAGAGCACGAGTGAAGTACCGGTACAGGATGTCGCGTTGTAGGCTAGGTTGTTCTCGTAAAAAATCATGAGAGTAGTTCGGGATGAGAGGAGGAGGAGAGGGGAGGGCGCGGATCCAACGAACGTCATGGTCAAAGGGCAGCTGGGTGTAGAGGCGACGGCGAAGATCAGCTACACTGGGACACCCGTCTTGTAAGATGTCGAGCCGCGCGCCGAGACCTGCACCTGTATAGTACGGACCTGCAAGCCAGGATCCGACGACGTAAACCGCTGTGAGGGCACCTATGTGGAAGGTGCCAGCGCCGAAAGATGAACGGATTATGAACCGGTTGGGGAGGACACGATGGAGGGTGGCAGAGAGTGAAAATGGAGGGGAAAATGAGGTAACCTGGAGAGCGAGTGTTGGGGAAGAGTCAGCATCTTGCGTGGGAAGGAACCACTCCCCAGGGGCTGCTATAGGGGGAGGGGGGGAGCGAAGAGCCACCCACCAGGTCCTGGGGATGGCACGGATAAGTTCCCGCCAGACTCGTCGTCCAGAGGGGGTGTTGGCGGGGGAGCACGAGGATATGAAATCCTTAAAAGAGACCAGACCAAGTGAGTAGAAAGTGAGTGATACCAAATTGCCGACACGAACTTGCGAGGATAGGAGAAAGCGTTCACGCGAAAGAATTCCAAAGGGCTTTCCATTTGGTTTAAGAATGAATCGGTTGAAGGCGGCGGGTTCGGCCATTATGCACATTGGGTTAAGTCGAGGAGGGGAAACGATCGGAGAAATGTCAATCAATGCCTGAAGTTCAGCAAGCGATCGGCTCGGAGTGTCCGCTGGAAGAATACCCGATTGGAGGATGGCGGGGTGCGCTAGAAAACAAAGGGTGCCAAAAGGAAGGCAGACGGCGGTTCTCGCCACCTCCTCAGACGGTGAAACACCGAAACGACGCAACGCACGCTGGGCGGCAAGGGCGCGAATTTGAGTGGAGGGTGCAATTGCCCCGAGTCCATCGTGACGAATAGAGTTGTACAGGAGGCGATTGGGGATGAGGCGAACCCCAAGGCCGTGTTCCTTGAATCTAGAAGATTAGAGGAAGTTCCCGACCGTGATGTCGAGCCGTTTTATGATGTCGGGGGTGGGGGGTTGGAATCGACCAGGGAAAGAGAGGACGGAGTTAAGGAACACCGATGCAAGTGTCTTGCGACAGGTGGCTCTAGCGCGTAGGGCTGCAAGGAACTTAGCCGTACGTTGGACGCGCGAAAGGGTCGTAGACCAGGTGGTAGCACCCGGATTTGCTCGTTCGACATAAATGCCTAGAATACGCTCTGCTATTTGGGGGGTACGAATGGGAATGGTGCCAGCAAGGAGAATATGTGCTGGGTCGATGAAGAAGGGAATAATTGAGCATTTATTCCAGTTGGGATGCTCGCCAGAGACGGTGGCAAAAGCCCGAAGGTGTATGAGAGTGGTCCCGAGTTCTCTCACGGATGAGAGAAAAATAGTGACATCGTCAGCGTAGCATGCCGTAAGTCGGCGTTGGGTCGCGGAGAGAGGGAACCCCGGGAGGAAGAGGGATAGGTAGCGCTGAAGGATTTTGATGACACAGACAAAAAGAAGGGGGGCAAGAGGGCATCCTTGTCGGACCCCTGTGCGAACGGGGAAGGAAGGCCCAGTAAAGTTGTTGACAGAGATGCAAGTGGAGGTGTTAGTGTGCATGATGCGGACCCAAGCGATAAACTGCTCAGGAAATCCCAAAATGGCGAGTGCTCGGAATAGGAAGGCACGGTTGACCATATCATAAGCTTTGCGGAAGTCGACAGTTAGAGCAAGAAGGGGGGACCGGGTGGTAGTACTCCAGTCGAAAATATCAAGGGTGTCGTTAATCGTATCGCCAATTTTCTTATTTTTAATAAAAAGCAGTCTGGGAGGAATCTATTATCGTAGGGAGTACAAGTTGCATCCGATTGGCGAGGCAGATTGCCAGCACCTTATAGTCCGAGTTCATAAGGGTGATGGGCCGAAGGTTCTCAACCAGGGACGAGTCACCTCTTTTAGGGATTAGGACGGTGCGGCCGGAGAGCATTGACGGGGGGAGGGCTGCAGAAATTGGAGGTGAAGAGAGGAGAGACTGGAAAGCAGGAGCAAAACGGGTCTTGTGATGTCGGAAAAGCTCGCCCGGAAGGCCATCAGGGCCAGGGGTTTTGCCTCGAGAAAGTTGCCCAATGGCTTTGCTTATTTCCAAAAGTGTAAAGGGGGCTTGTAGGTGGTTGGAGAGTCTGGGAGGTAGTGAGGAAGGGGGAACATGTGCCCAGAACGAGGGGTTTGACACTTCCGGGGTTGCTCCGCAGTAGAGAGACTGGAAGAATCTAGTGCATTCCGCGGTCATGGCTCGAAGGTCAGAGGTGGTCTGACCGTCTGGTAGCGTAAGAGAGGTGATTAAAGAGTCTTTAATGCGAGAATTGAGGCCCGCCAGAAGGGAGGAAATCCCCATCTCCCTATGACCCTCGACCTTGAGCTTTGCCTTAAGAGCGAGCTCAGCGATCTTAGATGTCTCGTATTTTGTGAGTTGCTGGCGGGCTTTGAGGAGTTGAGCGGCTGCCACAGGGTCCAATGGGGAAAGGGCAGATTGAAGCTGGAGAGACTAATAAGCTGCACAAGGTGATCAATTGTGCCAGTAACCCGACGACGCTCATGGTTCGAGAACCGTTTGAGACTAAGGGTGAGGGATAGTTTCCAAGAGTCCCATGCCTCAGGGGAGAGGCGTGAGGGCAGGGAGGCGATATGAGTATCAATGATGGCAACGACTTGGGGACGGTGAAGGAGGGATGAGCTAAAACGCCATGGCCGCGGCGCCATGGCCGGGTTGTTGAAAGTAAGGGAGCAAAATGGAGCGAAAGAGTGGTCAGAGACCTTAGTGGAGGTATAGATATATGAGGCCTCAGAGACTCGGGGGAGAAATGAGCACCAGACGATCAAGCCTAGAGGCTGGTGTAGTAGATACATTGGCACCAGTCATGCCTCTACGACCAAAGTACGAGAAAACAGGACTTGAGGGGTGGAGTGAGCGGTATGCATCAGAAAGTGAGTGTGTCGTCATGAGGGTGGAGAACATGGTGGCCTCGCTAATTTCATGGCCGAGCAGGGGGCGATTACGGTCTACGGGGTATATCACCGAGTTAAAATCGCCGACGAGGATAGTAGCTGCAGCCGCGCAGGATTGTTCTAGTGCCGGTGTGAGAACGGTTCTCCACCAAATACGACGGTCAGTGACGGGTTGCGGGGCATAAATAGCGACGAGGCGCAATTGCTCATGTAGGAAGTTAATGTGTACAGAGAGGAGGTGACTATCGGGTGAGGGGGACGGGGAGGTTAGAGAAACTGCTCTGTTGAAAGAGAGGATAGAGACACCACCTGGTTGCGGACAAGGTCTGCCATTTTTGTCAAGTGCGTATAGGGTGGGTGAGTGCGCTGAAGAGTGCGGGCGGAGTTGGAGTGATAGTTTAGGAAGGTTGCGCAAGAGCCTTGTATCCACTAAAATGAGGATGTCTGTTCGAAAAGTGAGTTCAGAAAGCCGTTGTTTCAGAGCATTTCTTTTTGCTGGAGTATTGATACAGTTAATATTAAGGCAGAGAATTCGTAGGGACGTTAACATGCTGCAAAGTGGGGGCCCACCGCGCACAAGGGTGCACGGATCCACAGGCCAAAAACCTCTCGAATCAGGTGGGAAATTGTTTGATGACCGAGGGCACAACGAAGACGAAAAGCATACGAAGGGTATCTACAGTAATTGTTGTTGGTATAAAATGAGTAGAGACATGTG